AAGATACCATTGTTAAACTTAGCACCACAGCTAGAAACCCATATACTATTTCCTAAGAAAACTAATGTCAGCATTGCACAAATAGACAAATCAGGAGAAATAAATTTGCAGGTCTGGGAAAGGGGCACAGGTATTACTGCATCGTGCGGTAGTGCAGCTTGTGCAGCTTTTGTTGCATCTGTACTACGCGGATATATTACTGCTCAACAGACTTCGGTGAACTTTCTTGGAGGTAATTTATCTATCGAGTGGACAGATAATGTATTTATGACTGGTGATGTAGAATTTATTCAATGATCTCTTCATTTGTGCTTTCAATCCTATCACTTAACTCTAACTTAATTATATTATTAATCTTATCAAGGTAATCAGCAAGATCTCTGTAATCCTCATCAGTATAATCTTCACCGGATACTTTCTTCTCAGCAAACAAATTCTTTAATTCACTAAAATCTTGCAGTACGATATTCCTCTCTACATAGCTCAAATCTGATAACAATAGACTAACTGTCAATAAATCCTTACTTTCAATCTTTGAAAGATCATTAAGATTATCTAGGATACTAAATATCTTACTTTTTTCTTGCGCAATCTTTTTATCTTCTGCATCAAATAATTCCTGATCACCTATGAGCTTCTCATGCAAAGCTTCATTAAGCTTAATGAAGTTGATATCATCCGATTGAATGTTATCCAATAACATATCTATTCTTGCTCTGCGCGCATTTATAACATCATTATAATCACTTAGTTTTATATTACCCTCATCATCTTGCTGCAATTCATAATAACCAAATCCTTTAAAGTTTTTTTTGTTATTTAGCATCACTATTCCTCATGACCTGACATTTTTTCATCTCTTCTTCTTTTTTCTTCTTCTTCAGCACGCTTCCTTCTAGCCTCCGCATCGTCTAAAGAGGGTCTTCTTTGTAAATCTTTTAAATCTTCATGACTACCTGGCTTATTCGGTGGTGCATTATTCGGCTTATTATATGGGTTCTCATCAGCCTTACTTCTTCCTGGCATTGCTTTCTTACCAATAGTATATTCATAAAGTTTATCTAAGAATTCTTTTCTATGTATTTTTGCCATATAAAGCAAGTCATCCTTATAGTCAATGTCTTCTGTGTAAGGTTTAGTCTTTTTGTTTTGACTACCTGCATGCCCTATGGAATTAATACCATGTTCCCAAGTGAATTTTACAGCATCCTCTATTGTATAACCTAAATGTGACCCTACATATCCCTTAAAGTAACTCAAATATCTATCAAATTTCTTATGTGTAATATCTCTTTCATCAACTCCAAATGCTTTGTAAATTTTCTTCTCAAAGTGATCAACATCGTCTTTAGGTGATGTAATAAATTTTGTTGCTTCAACACTAACATTGACAAGTTTACGTGGTGCCTCAACAGCATATTTCAATATTCCTCCAACTACTGGCGTTCTCCCTAAAAGATGACCCGTTCCTTTAGCAATTTCATTAGGTAAATGCCCAGCCCACTTACTGACAATATCAAGTTGAGTCCCAATCAGATGCTTAGGCGTCTCAAGAAGTTGCATTAAGCTCCTTTCTTGCCCTCCAAGC